AAAATCAAATACATGTAGTTTACTCTTCGTAAGCAACTATTTTTACAATTTTAATCATGAGCGATAAGTATTTAGGTGAACATTATAACATTTTACATATTCCCAGACACTGCAAGAATAACTTCCTGTAAAATCTCCAAAATCTACAGTCACAAAGATTGTAATTATTTGCCTATGAAGAAGCATACACACACAAAAGAGAGCAATTCGCATACTGTAATACGATTTTTTTTCCGAATGATGGGATTTTACTCTTTTTCATAAAGACAGAAAATTAATCCTCAAATAGTCATCAAAATATAAATTTTTCGTTTAACAAAAACATGGATTAAAGACCTTTCCATTATACCTTTTATGCCCTGAGAAATACAATGCAGAAAATAATATTCTGGATATTTTTTTTTATTTAAATGTCCACCAGCAGGTGGTTTAGCTCACCTGAGATGAAAGCTCAGCTCAGGTAAGCTTTTCTGATCACCCGTAGTCCGTCGTCTATCTGTCCGTCCGTCTGTAAACTTTTCACATTTTCAACTTCTTCTCAAGAACCACCGGGCTAATTTTAACCAAACTTGGTACAAAGCATCCTTGTTTAAGGGGTAGTTTAAAGTGTAATTTAATGAAGACCCGAGCCCCCTTCCAAGGGGAGATTATCAAGACAATAGGGTGGAATGATTTAAAAATATTTTCAAGAAGCACTGGGTAAAAAAAGCTGAAAGTCAAATGAAAGTATCATGGGGTAGTGTAGATTCTAAATTGTTCAAATCATGACCCCAGGGGTAGGGCGGGGTCACAATAGGGAATCCAAGTTTTACATTGAAATATATAGGAAAAATCTTCTCAAGAACCACTGCCCAGAAAATAATAAACTTATGTGGAAGCATTCTGGGTTAGTGTAGATTCTACAATCTCCAAATTATGACCCAGGGGATTGGATGGGGACACACATGGTATGGAATAGCACAGTCAAAATTACTCAGGTGAGCGATATGACCCATAGGCCTCTTGTTTTCTATGATGAAACTTCATTATAAATTATAAATTCACAAATTGAAAATGATTTTTTTATATACACTGTGTCTGAAGGTAAAGGCATTCAGTGCGCCTTGTTCACCAATCTCCTTTAATAAAAATTAACACTATAATTTAACTGTTCAAAATTTCATTTAAATTTTAAATCACTAGTTTTTAAACGATGCCCGATTTTTCAACTGTTCGGTAGATGGAGGACGTAAAAGTGTGTGACGATCTATGATAAACTGAAGTTCTTTAGTGGGGGGGGGGGCATAAAAATAAAAGAGAAAACAATATAGTTATAATATCATCTTCGCTAGCCAAGGGTGACGATCCACGGTGTTTCTCTATTCATGTGAATAGAGAAACACCGTGGATCGTCACCCTTGGCTAGCGAAGATGTTATAATATGTGCTCTACAGTGTAAAAAATCATGTTTAAAATGTGTTAGAGTATTCAAATTTTAAACGAAAATGCGTTTTACAATTAACCACAGCGGATTTAAAAACTAACATTTACTCATATAATATTTTGAGCGGGAAGACTTTTACAGCATTTGTAAGATTTTCTGGAACTGCACTTTCCCCTATAGTCAATGTACCTGTATCTAGTACTTGGCTAGAAGATTTTCCCTATATTTGGCATGTACACTGAAGTCAAATGTAAGTTATATTACCTATGGAAAAAATAAAAGAATTTGCTGTAGTTTTTACATAAAATCCCGGCAATATCCATAAAATACATTATAAGTAGACGAGCTACATTTAAATATGTAAATGCGGCTAACCAATATCGGTGCCGCTGTTAAGTGATATTTTGAAACAGGATTTTACTATTGAATTAAACGACAAGCGAGAGGAATTCAGCTTTCCAATCGTCGACTTTCCTTGTCTCTTAAAATGTGTTGTTTCCCAAATAATTCGATACGTGAGACCTCATAACGTTCTGAAAACGATTATTTTTTATGCACCGAGACAGCCTACTGACATGTAAGTTGATATTACAGAAATCTAAATACGTGTAACCTCGTTAAAATTCAACTTTTCATAAAATATAAAATGACATTTTTAGCAAGCTAAATCTCTCTATTTTATGTTGTATTTTGACTGACATAGTTCGCACTAATTATTGACCCTTTGTTTCACGCTAAATTTGAATAACACTTGATCAATACACTCCACACGGTGAGTGTGACCGGACAACAGGGGATATAGTTCCTTCAAGGCACCTGATCCCCCATCTTGGGTTTTTCAGGGCGTGTTCTGTTCTTCTTGTTAAAAACTTCGAATAGCAACAGATTAAAACAAGCGTATCTGAGTATAAAGTTATAAACATATTACAGCCTTTCTACTGCGCAGGTAAGACTGAAATTAAAGCATGTATGCACGTGTAAGTAACTGAGGAAAAAAAATCATGACTATTATCACACCATAAAGTTAGTCTGATCAATTTCCGTATTATATGTAACTGTCTACCAATGGCAGTGATCTTCTCTGACATTTGTTGTGTTGTTGTTAAGCTGTATATGTGGTGCGAAAACTGATTACCCTGAAATTTACAAAATAAATCACTGGACAACTGCCAAGAAATTACTTTCACTTTAAGACCAAAATACACAGCTATTTCTTCATTTGTTCTCCTTATTTAACAACTGGCATATAAATGTGTGCAGAAGTACAAAAAGAGTACACACAAGTACCCTTAAATTGATATATTAAATGGATGCAGTGGATGAGTTTGTCTTCAAAACGCGATGTGGGAAAAAGATCATACAGTTATTATTTATATTAAAAGGACTTCATTGACAATATTTATGTAGTCTTCAGAAGAAAGGTCTTCCGAAATGCCAATGGACACTAACCTTTCTCCTTTATGAGCCGGCGGGCAGCCGACTTGTTTGTTTTTGTTTTTTTTTATAAATATTCCAAGGAAACGGAATAAATTCAAAACCATAAACATGTGAAGAAAATTTCAAATACTTTTTTTGACTAAGATTGATTGATTGTATGTTGTTTATCGTAGCTCTCGAAATTTTTTCACTCAGATGGAGATGCCACTATTTGCTGTTGGAGAACTGCAATTTTTCTCCTATACTCGGCACTCAGCGTCATTGATCAGGAGATCTTTTTCGTGCCAGCACTGTTACAACGCACTTTGAAAAATTACGCACTTTGAGAATTTTTTTCAAAGTGCGTTAAATTTTGGGACCAAGTCAACGCACTTTGAAAAAATAAAATATCTTTTCAAAGTGCGTTAATAAGGACCATTTTAACGCACTTTGAAAAACTGTGTATGGATTTGTCAATATTCCTGCAAATCTTAGGTATGATAAATAATTGAGCCTGTTTGATAAGTCTTCTGTGAAGAGGTCACATCAGAATGTGAAAGCGAGCGATTTTGATTTTTCCATACTTAGAAAATTCTTTCTCTAGCATAGGCAACAGTACCGGAATGGGGGGTTACATGTAGGGCTAGGCACATAAATATTTTGCAAAAATATACATAATATATACATGTATGCATTAAAAATTGGGGCTTACCTGTGGGGTCAACTTTCAATTTGCTACCGACGGCTATGTACAATGTTTAAGAAAAAAAAGAGTTGGGATGAGAGACCTTCTACTCGTCTTCTCCTTGTTCTCAATGAGGTTAAATGAGTTCATGTAAATTTAAAAAAGTTTTTCGAAAGATATAATTATTACAATTTGATTTCCTCTATTACTAAAATCCAAGTCTAGAATTTTTATTTTCATTCATATCTTTTTTTCAAAGTGCGTTAAATGCCTACATGGTAAAAAATTATAATGTGCATTCTCAACGCACTTTGAAAAAAATTTTCAAATTGCGTTGAGTGTGTCCAAAATTTAACGCACTTTGAAAAATTTTACGCACTTTGAAAAATTTTTTCAAAGTGCTTAATTTTTTCAAAGTGCGTTGCCACACAGCACCTGCTGCGACAGGTGACCTCGGCATACACGGTCTCATCCGATCAAGGACCGGTCTCCACGCCCCACAGTGGGATTCGAACACGCGGCGTAAAGATCCACACTATACTTTATACGTGTTTTGAATATGAAATATTCTGTGGATTAATGCGGGTTAAATATTAGCAGTCGACAGGGGATGTCTACACCTCCTAGACAAATGATCATAGTTTTCGGGGTCCGTGGTTTCGTTATGTCTTGTGTACAAATTCTAATCAATAATTATTTTTTTTAGATCGATGAATGTTCATTTGTTCACTATTTTTAAAAAATTATTGATTTATTTACTCGTAAGATATCATTTTTTGCCAAACTGAAAAATACTGTAAATGTATTATATTTAGCGTGTACGATATTTGGCGGAAATTGAATTTTGAATAAGTTAGCGTAGACTTCATTTAGCGCATTTCTTCATATTCTTATTTATGTGTATAGTTGCGAGACATTTAGCGTTGTACTTGATTTAGCGGTTGTTGCGTACCGCCAAAGCCGCTAAAAAGAATACACCGCCAAATGTAATACGTTTACAGTAACGAAATGTTGTGAGTGATTGCTTCAATTATTATGAAGAAAATTTTAGGCCGGAATAAATGGATTTTATATGCCTCAGATAATTGGAATCGTTGGTTGAATATTTAAAAAATGCCTTTGAATGTGAGAAAAATTCTCTTTGCAAATATAGTAGCGGTATGCATTACATTAATTATACTGAATGTGCATTGAAGAAGTCGTCAGTGCAGTGGACATGGTGGACATATTATGGGTACTAGTGCCTTAATTAAGCTCACCTTCTAACACTTTCTTAGATTGTTCTATGCAAATGTTATCATTTGTATCAAAAGACTCATATAAACAATTTATTACTATAAAACCCAAAATGTGGGGGTAGGTTAAATCGTAAGATTTTTTTCATTTGAATTTTGAGAAAATGATAGATCCACGCACGTATTTCCAAACCACGTGACTATATTCTCTCAAACTTCCGGTTTTGAAAATGGCTCATATATACATGTAGGTGTAGGAAAAGAATGGGACACTTCTGATTAATTTCCCACGATTCCAGGGAGTTCAACTCCGAGGATGGCGACATCAGAGAGTCTAGCGATCATCATCGCCTCAGACGGTACGTACTGGGGACTAATTAGGGGAGAAATCCGTCTTCAAAATCAGGAAGATTGTGAACGCCATTGGATTGTTTTATGTTTACTGTCAGGCGGATCAATTTCGAGGTCCAGAGGGGCGAGGGATGAAGTCGGACTTTTATGTCGGAAAGGAGTTCTCTGAGGCATCAACAAATGCCCTGAGGCATTTGTTTGTAAATTTAGTTTTTGAAAAATTATCCTGAAGTTGTTTTTCACAGTTCGCTGCCAATGTGGCATGACAAGTTATGTTCCAAAACATGAATCAGCTGATTTTCAGATAAATACTCACACCTCATGTGTTACGTAAACTGATGCTGATTTCATACGTAAGAGGTTAAATAAATTAAGTGAGGTATGAAACTTTGTCTCTGAAATGCAAATCGACAGTTATTTTTTGTGTCCAGGTTGAATTTTAGAACTTAATTAAACGTACATTAGGCCTACATTTTAACTTATTATGTTGTAATTGGTTCAGGGATAATGTGTGTATAATTCTAGTAGAAGTACAATTGACAATAATTTTAATCTTGAACCAGCTGATATCTTTAAATTTATAATTCAGCCTTTAATAACTCATTTTACTAGTTAGAATTGTCTTAAGTCAAATTGAATGGGTCGTAGGAGAAATAACCAATATAGTCTGAGTCGATGCTAGCTGATTTAAAGAATTACAGTATAAGAGACTTCATAATCTCAGCTGGGAAGAACATTTTATCAGAAAGACTTGCCTCTGCATGTCTTTGCTAGCCAAGGGTCTGATTTATTGAAGAATTTGTTTGAATGCCAAGATGGTTTCAATAGTGATCCACCTATATTTGTAAATTTGTGGTACCTTTCTTTTCCTAATTCAAATTTAAGAATTTTGTCATTAAAACTCCTCACAAATGATATCTCAGCATCAGCAATAAGTCTTGGGATCAATATAGATTGATTGATTGTTGTTTCACATCCCATCTGAGATTTTATCACTGAAAGTTTAGAGATAACCATTTTCAGTGATTTAGGATTTAAATGTTAGACCTCTATTCAGCACTAAGGCAGGGATCACTTTGGGCTGCGCCTTTGCGCCATTGGCGCTCAATATTTGTAAATGGCGCACTAAAAAATTAGAAAGGGGTCAGTCTGGCGCATGTCTTACAGATATGGCGCTATAACATGCAAAACTGCGGGTCGAAACTCTTATCTTGGTGCATTTTAGGACCGTTTTCAAGCTGACCAATTGTATTCATGACATATCTGAGCATACTGTTACTTCGTTCAATCAGACTCTTTGTAGTCGCGTATGTTCTTTACACCAGCAGAGCGTCTGGTTGATGAAGACTAAAATCGGAATTGTACACGGAATATTTCCTTCGTTTAGATTACGCTACTAGAAATTTTTTTTACCGAATACGGAGTCAATTATATTTATTAAAATTATATGTAATGATTTAAATAATAAACATATAAAAGTAATACTCCAGTATGTAATATGTTCTAATATGTAATATTGATTTTTTCTTAAAACTTCGATTATTTATTTCGAAACAAAACAAGTACAAGTTACTCATTGTGTATCCAGACACTTGCCCGAAATGCCTCCAAAGCGAAGATTAGTTTTGGGCCAACTGACCCAAAATAACGAAAGCTTTCGTTTGTTTTACAAATAAAACGACGGAAACTTTTTCATTCCCAGAATCGGCAGAGGTCTCTGACTAAGAAAAACAGTCCAAGACGTTGACTCCTGATGTCAACGGCAACGATGTTCGTCATTTCAAGTGGCTAACTTTGCACCCGTGGTTGGAATTTGATCAGATGGGACTAAACGTTTTGCAAACAAATAAAAATTTTCTCATTTCAGTTTTTTGCGTATTTTGCTCCGAGTTCTTTGCATACAAAACCAGTCCATACCATTTGAACCAAATTTAATCTGCAACTGCCCCAGGTCTATTCAGTAGAGAAATGTGCATGTAAGTTTGCATCCTTTATAATTCAGCTCTTCAACAACTTTCGAGAACTAAATCGATAAAATCAAAGGGGCGAGGAATTAACTTAGGTATTCTGTTTATCAATTAAATTTATACTCTGTTGTATGAAGTCTTAAACAATTCTCAAATATAACATTTTTCAGTACTGAGATGAAATTTAAAAAAAAAAAAAAACTTCTTTTATATTTATAATATTATTCATTTTATTTAAATAAAAATCAAATTGGTTGTGTCAGAAATGGCATTTAAAAACCCTCAAAGACCCATCAAATTTACTTGAAATTCATCACAAAATAGCAATTGGAAAATCAATTTTTCCCGGGGGGCTTCGCCCCCCTGGACCCCAATGGGGGCCTAACGCGGCTTTAAATTCATCACAAAATAGCATGGAAAATCAATTTTTCCCGGGGGCTTCGCCCCCTGGACCCCCTACCGGGGCGTTGCCCCTGGACCCCAATGGGGGCCTATCGCAGCCCCCATACCCCCGGTGGATGGCCCATGGATTTTAATGTTGATGGGCCAATTGGCCCATCAACATTAAAATCCAGAGTGATCCCTGCTAAGGTACATTGAGCTGTTAGGGTTCTTTTCATGCCAGCATTAACATGATGTAACAGGAAAGGAGAAAATGTACCAAGGGACCTTGGTTTTAAAGGTCTCATCTGAAAGACCTGTTACTTTCACTTCTAGTGTCAGGTATTATGTGAAGGAACATGCAGTTACTAGTTACTACCTAGTAACATAATGTCATCTGAATGTAACAATCACTGTTTCCAAGTAGTCTACTTCTTAATTAAGTCTCTATATTTTTATGCCCTCCTTTGATGAAGGAAGGGTATATTGCTTTGCTGCTATCGGTTTGTCAGTCTGTTAATTTGTCTGTCAGTCTACCACTAGTTTCCATGTCTTTTCACTGCAGAGGTTGCACACTGAAAGGAAATTTGGTATACAGATTTATCATTAGAATATCTAGCGGTCAAGTTCTGTTTTGGGTACAATTAAGCAATTTTTGACAGAGTTATCCTCTTTAACTTAGAAAAATTCCAGTTATTTACAGTTTCCATTATCTTAGCTGCAGATCTGTAGCTCTCCGAAAAAAAAATATTTTGATAGACCGGAGAGCTACAGTACCACCCATTGAAAAAAACGTATATTTATTGCGGACAAAAAAGTGCGCTCGGTTCTCGATTTATTTCTCCATGTTTTTGAAACTGTAATCTCAAAATATTACTAACCGTTTGTTCTTAACATATTCTTTCGCTGTTTCCACAACCAAACATTCCTTATAATTGTTGTTAATAGTCCTCCTGACCCTGATATTGTAATCATCGAACATTTCGCTTATATATACTGCCATTTTGGTTTCAAAGATAATTCGGTCCAATATACTTCGTTCAGATGTCAACTACGAGAGTACTTGATAGAAGATAAAGGAATTTTTTAAAATCTTTCCTTATTTGTAATTGAGGTAAGAATTTGGAGGAATTAATTAAGAACCGAGCGCACTTTTTGTGCGCAATAAATATACAGTTTTTTCTATGGGTGGCACTGTAGCTCTCCGGTCTATCAATATTTTTTTTTTTCGGAGAGCTACAGATCTGCAGTTACCATTATCTTTGCATGTTTATCCAAGAAGGGGTGGGGGTGATAAATAAACAACGGCTCTAATTCACACTTTTCAGAAACATTTGTTTATAATTTTAGCCATGCAAAATTAAGATTGAATTGGTTGAATGTTCATAAAGTTATTACGGCTCTAATTCACACTTTTCAGAAACATTTGTTTATAGTGATAGCCATGCAAAATTAAGATTGAATTGGTTGAATGTTCATAAAGTTATAAACATTGCATGTCTTTTTGAGACATTTATTTTCATAACCTACATGAAATTTAATTATAAAATTGTTAATATATACCTGTTGGAGATGATATTTGAAAACTTTATAATTTTACTTACACAAATATAAAATTTCATAATAGTACGTCACGTAGCATTATATTGATCAAGCTAGCTATGTTCTTAGTACCATTTCTCTCCTAATCAGATAGTAAACAAGTGGTAAGCATTTCATTTGTATGTTAATGTGTGCCATGCAGTACAGTCACTGCTATACACATCTACTCCCCTATCACTGTGTATTGAACTATTCCTAGGAACCCTGGCATTACATGTACTTTCACTTTGTCTTTCAGTTTCATTTTTGTTCTTGATAATCTATTCCACCTGATAAGATTACAGGATATTCCTAAAATATTAAAGTGTTGAAAAATGAGCATGTGAATAAGCACTATTGTAAAGTAGAACAAACGTATTAACACTCTTGGGATTGGTAATAATTAATAATACATGAACTAGATATAATTCTAAGGTAAAAAAGAAAAAAGGTGAACAATTAAATAATAGACTTAGTCTACCCTACACTGATAGTGATAGAAAGGTCACAACTCACAAGTGGTGTTCGGAATTATCCAAATATCCATGTCTGTATTCTCATTTTGATTTAATATATTGCATACAAAAGCAAAAAAAAAAAGAAAAAACTGAAAGAAAACAAAATGTAGAACTTGAGCATAGAATTTTAATTTACTTTTATTTAGTTTTAACATCAGTGTATATTGGGTGAAAGGAGAAAGAGAAATATATAGCGACAAAATATATGCTGCCAATTGGATCAAAACTGAAATCATATTAAGATGACTGCATCAAGGGATGGACTTTTGAGACATTTTTCCTCCTCAGAATGTTCTAAGTGCTTTCTAGATTGTACATGTAATGTCGGACCTTCCATCTGTTCTATGGCAGTTTTTGCTGATAATTCAATATTTGTTGACAAACATTTAAGTTACACTCAGATAGCACATGCCTGTTGAAAACACAATTTTTTTCTAATTAAGTCTCAATTTACCAATATACCAAGGTTTTACTTTGGGATTACTTGTAAGGGAAAGAGTTGGGAACTTCAGTTACATAAACATGTGTAATCCAAATGTATTTAAAATCTTTCATAGTATCTATAGGATAAAGAAACTTAGTTATTTTCCAGGAAATTCAGTTGTTAAAAATAATGTTTAATCTGGAGTATTGTCTTATCTGGCAAGTTTATTCATTTTAGACATGTTTTATGATGAAGAACATTTATTAGCTAAATTTTACTTTGTACATGTGTTGTATTGCTATTTTGTAAAGTTGCATATAACATACAGAATATCTTGATGTATATGTAACAAAATCATTGTCTAGTTGGTCAATTCATTCCCCATAAGCTACTGTAAATATGCTATTTTATGCTGATTTTTAGCTCTACTGGTCAGAGACCAGAAGAGGTTATGTGATAGTAATGCGTCCGTCGTCCGTCCGTCTGTCTGTCTGTCTGTCCGTCTGTCTGTCTGTAAACAATTTTTCAAAATGCTACTCCTCCTACAGTTTTAGTCTGATTTCAATATAACTTGGCACACAAGTAGACTACACTAAGATACATAATTCTATGTATCGGTTTCTGATTTCGATGAACGATGTTGCCGTGGTTACTAAAAATAGAAATTTCTGTGAAATTCTTTCAAAATGCTACTCCTCCTACAGTTTTGGTCTTATTTCAATATAACTTGGCACACAAGTAGACTACACTAAGATACATAATTCTGTATATCGGTTTTTGATTTCGATGAACGGTGTTGCCGTGGTTACTAAAAATAGAAATTTGTGAAATTCTTTCAAAATGCTACTCCTCCTACAGTTTTGGTCTATATAACTTGGCACACAAGTAGACTACTTTAAGATACATTATTCTGTGTATCGGTTTTTGATTTCGATGAACGGTTTTGCCGTGGTTACTAAAAATAGAAATTTCTGTGAAATTCTTTCAAAATGCTACTCCTCCTACAGTTTTAGTCTGATTTCAATATAACTTGGCACACAAGTAGACTACACTAAGATACATAATTCTGTATATCGGTTTTTGATTTCGATGAACGGTGTTGCCATGGTTACTAAAAATAGAAATTTTTGTTAAATACTCTCAAAATGCTACTCCAAATACAGTTTTAGTCTGATTATTATATAATGTGGCATGCAAGTAGACTACACTAAGAACATAAATGCCCATATTCACACCTATGTTTAAACTAGGTTTAGCTGTAAGAAGGACTCACATTTTTTTAAATCTGTTTCACACCTGCTTCTCAGGAGTGAGCTCTTCTCAGAAATTAAGGTAAACCTAAACCTGGTCTAGGGTAGGTTTAAATGTTAAAGATAGTATTATTCTAACTATGGAAGACCACATAGATGGTGTAGAATGGCTTGAACGCATTGACCAACTGTTTGTTAGACGACCTAGAACTATCTGTGATAGATTACATCCATTTCTTTTTTATAGGAATGTCAAAATTGTCAATTATTGATATTCGATAGGAGTATTCGAATATGCGATAAAATAAATACATCTTGCATAATTAAATATATATCTTCACTCTCCTGTAAAGCAGTATAGATTTTATTTTGGAATTCAAATATATATTTTTAAAAGAATTATTGAATAGTATACATCCAAAATGTAATGACTGTTTTTAGAAAATTCAAAAGATTCTTTAATATTTTCCAGATTAAGTGAATGTCTAATTAAAGTCTACACTGATAACTCCTACAAATTTATACCAAGCAGAACAATTATCTAACGGTGAAATATTAAAAGTAATTACTTTTTGCTAAATATAATTTCCTGATAATGATTTTTTATAATATTTACATAAAGAAGTCCGTGTGTTTACTGTAAAACTGGGCACTTGATTCAATTTCTAATAAAACTTGTCAGGTTTTTCTCTCTTTTTAATGCATGTATACTTAAAAACAAATATTTGAATCATAAATTTATATTCGAATATCAACTAATCGAATGAATATCCGAATATTCGTTGACATCCCTACTTTTTTATGATGAGGAAGATTTTCTTGTGAGATTCTGTTTTTGTAAACGTGACACTCTCCTTATAATTGATATACTTGGAAATGATCTAGAACCAAATCAGAGAAAACTTATGTCAGTTTCACCCCTCAACCAGCTTTTGATAGCGTTAAGATTTTTTGCTACAGGAGCATTTCAGCAAGTGAATGGGGATTTATTTTGGATTTCACAGTCAACAATAAGTAGGGTTGTTAAAAGAGTTTCTCATAATGATTTTAGCTGAGTGGATGTCCTGATATTTACACCATTTCTACTGTTAAATTCCTTTGTTAAGTTTTCCCATTCCAAATTTTTCTTGGGGATCATTTTAGCATCAGTAGCTTTGTTTTCAGTTATGTCCTTTTTTGACCCCACTAAATTAACAAGGGTACACTTTTCGAGTTCTGTAAAATTTGGACCTTTCTTCCCAGTCATTGTACATGCAATACCAAATGAATAAAGCAAACAAAAGAGAGGTTCAGGTAAAACAAGTTTTATTTTAAGTGTGAAACACAGGTGAGTTCAAAGTGAACTCAGCTCAAATGGGATTTAAACCCAGTTTACCTGAACTAGGCTTACTATTTAAATCTACCTTACCTAAGACACAGGTGTGAATATGGGCAAAAGAGACTTAATCAAGGATCATTATTCTATTTATTGCTGTTGAAAAGTTTCAATTTCCAGCTGCTTAAGTACTTTTCTCTTCCTTTGCTATAAGTACAAACCAGTAGAGCTTCAGTCTCGACAGAGACTTCTGGTTGTTATAGTGGTTTTGACAGACAAACATATGAAATACAGTCAACATGGTCAAAATTCTCATCTTGAATTCAATGGGACTAAGGAAAAACTGAGAGATATCAATGATTTAAGGTATCCATGCAGAGTAAAAACACTTAAAGAATAAATGGTTTGGACCTCCATATCACTTCTGCATATCCATTATGTCCATGGTATTTGAGATATATCAGTAATATCACTATCAGTGTTTGAGATACTAAATTTATACTGTACAAGACACAGATACCAACACAGGACAAGATGACTGCATGGGGCGCAAGATGACTGGGGGATATAAATATATTAACCTAAGATGAGGCATCTTACGAGATGTGTCAGAGTTTGTTTTACGAATTGCAGTCTTCCTCAGTTTTACAGGAAAAACAAGGGAAGGAACTGAATACTCGCTGTACCATGAACCTATATCTAGGCAAACCTGTAGTGTCTGATACAAGGAAAAAAGTTTGCTGATATGTAGACAGATGTTGTCAATTTAAATTGAATCAATCAGAAGGATATTTATATAAAGAATTATGCTACAATGATCAATGGTGATCATGTTTATTCTGTTTTATGACATGTTATATACAGCTTGTACATCATTGATAAAGGATACAGGCTCTATAGGTCAAGTGTTGAATTTAGTTAACAATCCCTCAATTCTGAGAAAATGTCAGCCTTTCCTAACTTCTTTTGAAGGTGGTTATAAATATTTTTATTGTCAATGTTCATACATGTAGCTGTAACATAAAGCTATTATCAAATACATTTTTCATTCACTTGATTCGATGGCTTGGAGGTTAAAATCAATATGTTTGGGTTTCAACTAATGAGGATGCCCATGGGTATAGGACATGGGGATTTACAGGGGTTTATATTTGATGTGTCTCATTAACTGTCATTGGTTTCTGAGTTAGGATGAATTTGTAGTTAGATAAAGTCTGTGAATCGAGGCATTTTCCTTGCGACAGGTGCTGAACCACTTAGCATCACTTAATTCCACTACTGTGATAATAGGGTTATAAAACGATATCCTCAAATGTTCACATAACATTAACAAATCCTTATCAGGATACAAGTACCATACTTCTGAAATTTATGAATAAAGTTCATCAAAAGAATAAGCAAAAATATGCATAAGTATGTACATGCTCTACATGTACATGTATCACTGCAATTGTATTTAACTTAACAATACATGTACCTGGTACATGCTGTAAATTGTAAGACTATTTTTGTACATTATTTAGCCGTAGCTGATATACATGTAATATTGTGTTTTGCAGATGAGAGCGACAGTGACGTGGAAATTCTTAGGGAGGAAAAGAACGAAGACCTGGACGTGATCATTGTCGCTGAAACAACAGTCAAGCCAGTGCCAAGATTAGGGATGGGAACCAGTGGATTGGAACCAGTTAAGACTGGTCAGTCCTGTGAGGGCCTGCGGCCGGAGGTTCCGGTTGACCTGTCACTGGACGAGTGTACAAACGACGACGGTCTCCCCACGGTCACCACTCCTCTAGATCTGTCCTCTAAGAAGTGTTCTGGCGATGACTCCGACCTAGATCTGGACTCTAGTAGTTCCTTCCTAGCAGAGCAGACAGCTAGTACGCTGTCAGACTTCCTGAAAGAGTCGTTCCCCCCTAACGTCAAAATACTGCCCAAATCTGACAATGATTGTGCCCAACCTAACTGTGATAATTCTGACCCTAAATCCCTGGATGATCACATGGATACGTATCCTAAGAAGATGGACCTGTTTGACGGCTCCCTCCTGCCTGGTTCTGGTCTCCCCGCCACGGATCTGTCTGGTGCAGGTCTCCCCTCCGCAGATCTGACGGTCACGGGGCACCTTCCTGCTGTCATTCCTCCTAACACCAGCGTTGGTGATATCCCGGTGTCTTTCTCTGATAACATTAGAAAACACTCCAGCAAACGTGCATCTTCATCCACCGATGACGTCTGCACGCTAAAGAAAATGAAAAAGGAGGAAGAGCTGTTTAACAGCGAGGCATGGAAATCACTAGATCTGGACTTTCTGTCAGAGTCGAGTACAAGTACCTACCAACATACCGGCAGTTGTGATACCAAGAGTGCACCCGTGTCTGTGGCAGCCCCAGGCAGTGCTGTCCATGGAAGATCGTACAGTGTGTCCTCCGAGACATTCACCAAGCACCTGCCTCCCAAGAAACAGAGCTGTTTCCGTCAGGCGAGTGACCCAGGGTTCAGTCCTGCAGCCCGCCCTGTGTCCCCCCAGCCTTCCTGCAGCAGCTGGGGGTCAGAGAAGTGTACCAGCTGTAATATCTCCCTCCTGGGGTTCAGAATCTCTCGCTGTATACAGGGACACCCCACCTGTGCCTTCTGCTTAGAGGAACAGGTCAAACTAGTCCTCACTGGCAAAACCAAGGTAAAGTATCTCAGTCTGTTGATCAGTCTTTTTCTGTTGAAAATTTTGTATTTCAAATCCACTGAAGGTAGAGGTTGATTTGCT